CCCCTTCCAGATATTTTATTGTTTCATCCTCTAAACCTTCCATTGAAACTCCCAGAAATTTACCTAGTCCCAGCAGTTTAGAAGTAACCCAAGAAGAGGAAGAGGAGGTGCTATTCATCAACTTACCTCCTGGGACCATCGATTCCATCCTTTTCCGTTTGCTCTTTCCTTGGGAGATTGTGCCTTCAAATGTCGCAATCTCTTGATTTCTTTCCAGGCCATTGTCCAAAACAGATATTACAAGAATTGTGCCATCTTGAGGGGGGAAAACTTTCTTGTCACTGACCACAGCTACCGGAGTCACCTCCATACAGTCATCATCAAGCCTCCCCTATCTCCTTCTGACCAGTTGCAAGCGGTTATGATGGCAAGTGTGTGTGGGAACTCTTCTCGCCTCCAGCCCTGAGATTTCTTTCCACCGCTGCTGGCGCCCTGGTGTTCTGGCTAGACAGAGGTCGGCGAACACCCATCGCTTGATTTGGAGAGAGGTTCAACCACCCAAGTCCAAATAGAGTTAGTCTGTCTCGAGTTGAGCCATGAGCAAGAGCATAGGGTTCGCTTACAGCTTTTTTTCCTAGGCCCAACCGACCTGGGTATGAAGTCGGATCTTTCTTCCGGGTTTGGGTGTCTGTCGCCCACTCCATCTCTCCCACCTGAGACAAACCCGTTTCCTGATCTTTTCTTGGTTGACTGTCCAAACTCGAGGCTCCTTGAAATTCCAAAATACATTCTTTAATTACTTCCTTTAGTTTCTCGAGCGTTAGCTCTTGTCCCCTTTCTCCATTTAAAATTTGAAGTTTGAACACGTGCCTCAAAAGGAACCTTTTCTCTTTCATCCTAGCCATCCACATTATTCAAAATTGGACGGTCTCGAACACTATTCGCTCTTCCCTCTTCCTCTCCCCTTCTAGTGACCCAAGGCTAAGCCTACTACGCCTGTATCGCCTGATCCAACGGGAAGCTCAACGTAGAACCCCTCTAGTTTTCTTTTGAGAAGAAACTCTCCCCTTCCTCCTCAAGGACCACTGTTCTTGAGACCTCTGAACCGCCTCCTCCCTTTTTTAAGCTAACTCCAGTCCCCAAACTCTCTTCTCTCCACCTATGAGTTGACGGGAGCACCTCTGACCAGATGCAAACTGAGAAAGCCACCTCTCCCACCACAATCTCCACCTTCTCAGGGATATCGCTGCCCCTTCCCACTTTCATCCTAACCCACTCGCACGTTGTAAAGAGACTGGGCCGAATGGGCCCTAACAGCCTCTCTTGTAATATCTTTTATTTTATGTTGATGGGCCACACTTAATGGGCCTGTTATTTATTCTTGTTTATTTCCTTTATGTAACTGCCAAGCTGGCCGCCCACTTAAGGGCATACTAGTCATCATTAATTTTTTAGATCTTAATAAAATAGGGTTAGAGGAGAATGGAGAATTAATTCGACTCCTTCTTCTCTTCGCCATCTTCTTCTCTTATACAGTTATTCAGATCTGTTTTATTCTGCTAATCACTGAATTTAAACTTGATATTAGAGGACTGATTTACATCTCACGTAATGAGCTCTGTGGGCGAATCGCCAGTTTCAATGAATCCTCCACAAAGATCTCCAATGGCTTTCATGATGCTTGGGCACCGGAAAATCAACAGGAGGCCAAATATTTTGATCCAAGTCGGCTCGGCATTGCCCAGATCAGTCTCAAATTCCGGGTAGAAGCACTCCGTGCTAGCCCCCCACTAGTCAAGCAATAAAGGGTTCCTACCCATCTGCCAAGGTTCATTCTTGAGGACCCACTTTGCTTCGGTCCTCGACGATATGATGAAGAGGAAGAGCTCATCAGCCATTTTCTTCACTCTAACCCCTCCCATTTCTTTGCAAGAACGATTGGCCCATGCTTCAACTTCTCTAACTCCCCCCCCCCATCTAAATCTTCCAACTAAGCAATTGAGTAAAAAAGCTCTTTTTGCTTCCACTCCAGTTGTGTTCGTGACAACTACCAACTTTTCATTTATCTTCTTCACCTCCAATTTTCCAAACTCCAACCACACTCCTACCAACGCCGCCTTACTAAACAAAAAATTTGTCCTCATCTTCGCATCCAAATCTCCCCTGTTGTACCAGTTATCAGCCTCCCATCTTCTTCTCCCTATCCGCCTTCTTTGAGAAAACTCCCATCAAAACATTTTCCACAAGAAGCTAAAGCTACGATCCATTGCCAGAGTTTCGTCTCCGCCACCGGAACCAAGCTTTGGTGATGATTCATGTGATTCTCAAGCAAAGTCATGTTGCTTGCAGAGGTTAGGAGAGGAGATGAGGAATCTTTATGGAAAAAAAATCACTGAAAGTGTTTATCCCTCAATAAGTGACCTAAGTGATGAGGATTAAGCTGGTTTAATAAGTAAAGCTGTGGAGGGTGACATTTGGAAGGTTCTAAGGTTGCAACAAACAGTGAACCTATGACTTTACTTCAATTTGCCAATGATTCCTTGATTTTTTCAAGGCCGGCAGCCATGGACTTGCTTTTCTTGAGATGTTTGCTGATTTGTTTTGAAGTTGTTTCAGGATTGAAGATCAACCTCCAGAAAAGTGAATTGATACCTGTGGGGGAGGTCCCAAACATCACAAATATTGCAGAAGTCTTAGGTTGTAGGGTCAGCTCCCTCCCTTCCAAATTCCTAGGGCAGCCTTTTGGGAACAAACTACAAATCCAAAGAGATTTGGGATCTGGTGATTGAGAGTGTCCAACAAAAACGGGCAGACTGGAAAAAGCTTTATCTTTCAAAGGGTGGGAAGATAACATTGATTCAAAGCATTCTTTCAAATCTGCCTACCTATTTTATGTCACTCTTTATGGGTCATGCTTCAGTTCTAGCTTCTTTAGAAAAACTTCGAAGAGATTTCCTTTGGGATGGTCGAGAGGAAGAGAAGAAGTTTCATTTGGTTGCCTGGACAGTAGTTTGTAAGCCAAAAAACCAAGGTGGTTTAGGTGTAAGACCTTTGAAATAGATTAACAGAGCTCTTATTTGAAAGTGGCTGTGGAGGTTTGCTCTTGAAAAGCAGGATTTCTAGTGATCCATTATAAGTTGTAAAGTATGGAGAAAATGACTTGGGGTGGGGACATAGTTGTCAAGGCGATGCCTAGATGACAAGGCGGCCTTGGGGGCTTGCCTCGCCTAATCACCAAGCAGTTTTGTACAGTTGTCATAAAAAACTTTTATATTCTTAGTTTTTTAAGGTTATAATTATAAAATAAACATTATTGAACTAAAATATTCATTTACAAACATTGCTAAATGCTGTATTGAACCCTCAAAGACTTCAAAACCTGAACCAATAATTTTTTTTCTTCTTTTCCTATAACAGAAATAGGGGTTCAGCCCCAATATTTTTTGAAATTTCTTTTCTTTCTTCTTTTACTTCTCATGAATATGATTGTTGGAATATGTTGATTCTCTATACTTCAACATCAAGTTTATACTATGTAGTTTATGGATAATTATTAAGGAAATGTAGTTATAGAACCTAGGGAATTACTGTAGGATACATGTTTTTCACTTAAAAAAATCCATTGCCTAGGCAACAAGGCACACCCTTGTCGCCTAGCCTTGCCTTGGCACCTTGAAAACTATGGGTGGGAAACAAATCCTGTAAATGAGTCCTATGGCACAAGTTTGTGGAAAGGAATCATGCAGAATAGGGAGTTTTTCAAATTTGTTACCTTCAAAATAGGAAATGCAGAGAATGTCCTCTTTTGGGAAGGCAGGTGGTGTGGCTCTCTACCCCTAAGCCAAGCTTTTCCAGGCATCTATGCCTTAGCAGCTAATAAATCTTCCAAGATCAGAGGTTGTTATGAGGTTTTAGGTGAACAACAGGTTTGGATCCCTAGTTTGTGCACAGAAGTAAATGACTGGGATTTGGAGGACCACTCAAACTTGTTGCTTCTGCTAGAAGGAGTAACACCCCAACCCAACCTTGAAGACAGATTAGTGTGGTTAAGCGAGAGTTCAAATTGTTTTACAGTAGAATCAATGTTTAAAAATCTGGTTGGATCCTCAAATCAGCATGTGGCCTGGGGCTGGATGTGGAAATTGAAGATCTCTTCTAAGGTGATATTTTTAATGTGGTTGGCTATGAGGGGAAGAGCTCAAACAATTGAACTGCTTCAGTCAAAAGGGATGATCATTGTTAACCATTGTTGCTTATGTGGGTCAGCAGCAGAGAATGTGAACCATACTCTCGTACGCTGCAAGTTCTCTGCTGTAGTTTGGTCTCTTTGGGGTCTCTTTGGATGTTCCCCAAGATCTGGAATCTCTGTTCTCATCCTGGAGCTTGGGCAGCCTTTCAAAGAGGAGAAAGGTCCTTTGGAGCAATCTGGTGGTCAGTTTGGAAAGAAAGAAATGGCAGGACTTTCCGTAATCAATCACTGCCAGTTGAGAGGATTTGTGGCAAAGTAAAGAGGGTTTTGGTGAAATGGGCTTCCAATCCACAGCCTGTTCTGTTCAAAGGTTTTAACTTTAGTCAATTTTGAAGCCATTGGGATATAATCATTTGGGATGAAAATGTTGTCTTTTGACCGTTCTCTGGTGTTCTCTTGTGATGTTTGTGCTGGGTAATCTCGATGCTGCTGTTTTAAGGGAATCTCTTCCTTAGCTTTTTCTTTCCAGATTAATAAAATTTTCATTTTCACCTCTCAAAAAAGGGCTTTATTCTCTGATCGCATTCTAGACAAGTCAGAAGCAAAAAAGGCCAAATGCACCAAAATAGGTCTTCTAAGATTCCGTCAACAATTATTGTGATTGCTCCTAAGGTCCTGAACTAATCAGATATCCTTCATTCTCATTCATAGGGCAGTCCATCAATCAATTCAAGTACAAGCTCAAGTCCAATTAGGGGCAAAACAGCTCAATATAATTTCTTCTATAAACAAGCAATTACATTGATGTCTGGGAATAAATGATTAACAATCCAAATTCAGGAAAAAAAAGAAAGACGGAACAAGATCTTACAGCTATAACTGGGTCTCGGTGGCTGACTTCGGAGAAGAGGAGAGAGATCCAATGAGCGAAAGAGCGTAAGCTGGGCTTACTTCCTGTATAGCAGAGAGGATTCACGTCCAAAAAGAATATCCGTCGTTTGCTCTTGCTCTTTCTCATGTCGTCGTTGTTGCCACAGCAGTTGGTGTTCTTATTGAAGCCTTGGGGCAATAAAAACCCACTACCAGTTTGTTTCTGGGAAGAAGAAGAAGAAGAAGAAGCAGCGGTGGCTTTCCATGGTATTATTGTTCTTGGTAGTGATGTTGTTCTCCTCAGAGTTCTCCATGGCAGAGAAACTGAAGGAGTGGAGGTGAAGGAAGCAGTAGCAGCAGTAACCTCGACCATCTTTCTCTAATCTTTCAAGTAAAACTTTCGATACATCTATACTGCCCCGGTGGTAGGAGTGCAACCGTGAAAAGCGGGCAGGTTGGGTCGATTTGAGTGTGAACCCGGGCCATGCAAATCTCCGGTTTAAACTTGAGCCAACTTAAGGCCAATTTCAAATTTATACCCAGGTCCAACCCGAACCTCACCTCACCCAACACAACAAGAACCAAAGCTCGGCTTGGATTGGTTGGGCCAGGCTTAGTCGAGCTTGAGTTGGTCGGGTTTGATAGAACAGATGACTTAAAAAAAGTGTTTATAAAACTTCCATTTACTTCTCTCTCTTATGTCTTATCCTGACTTTTCCATCATCTATAAAACAACCCCCCTTCTTATATTTGTAGATAAGAAAGGAATTAATGTTTTTACTTTATTTCATTTTCTCCATTGTGGTTTTATCTCACTTATCTAAGTATTTGCATTTTTGCTACAATCATTTATTGGATGTATTGCTTTTTGATTTAGGCGAACACTTTATGCTTCATACAACATAATTAGCACAATAAGTGTTTCATAGAATTTTCCTTTTAGTTAAAATGGTATTCACCTATCAAATAAGACTTCGGGTATAGTCCTCCATTTTTCCCATCTAGATGACATTTTTCTTAATTTCTCCTTTGTTATAAACTATTCAACCAAGGTAATGGAATTATAATAATAATAATAATAATAATAATAATAATAATAATAATAATAATAATAAAAATAATAATGATAATAATTATTATTATTATCATTATTATTTTTATTATTTTTATTATTATTATTATTATTACATTCTTTTTTTACTCATTATTACATTTTGTTTTAGTCATACTTATTGTCATATTATTTTAAAATTTATTGTTTTTGATATAGTTATTCATAAACCTAATTTTGAATTTATCATTTGTTAATTTCATCAATTAAAATTTCAAAAGTAAACTTATTAGTTAATCAACTCATATTAAACGGTTAGTGAAAAATATGTTGGTGGATGAATTAAATAGCTGGTAGGTTGTGAAATGAGAATTGAAATAGAAGAGAAGAATAAATCAAGGGTGTTAGTTACATGGATCATTTCTACTATATTGTGGTAACCAAAGTTATGTTTGGTTTGATAGAGAAATAAGTGAGGAACATAGAAAGTTAATGGAAAAATCTTACAACTTTTTACTCTTCTCTTATTCTCTATCAAACCAAACACAACATAATATTAATTTGATGGAAAAATCTCTCGGAGCACGTACTTGTCCTCCTCTTGGCGGAGGCATCAGAGGTAGGGCAAGGTAAAAGATATTCTATACAACTTTCCTTCAAGCAAGGTGTAGTAGGCGGCTTACCGTCAAACTCATCTGGTTTGGTTTCTGTCAGCAAGCAGCCGCTCGATCAAGAGGAAGGCGATGATGGGGTCCATACAACAAAGCCTGGCCTGTATTGGGAGCATTTGGACTTCTTCGATGCTAGGATGAGCTAGCTTTTCCACACGGATTGTGCGGTCGAGGGCTGCAGGTCCTTCACGAACTATAGGTTGGTGAGGAGGGATTCGTACTCGGCTTCATTGTTGGAGGTCTAGAAATCGAACCTCAACGCGTATTCCACTTCGGCGTTGTTTGGAGTGAGGAGTATGAGGCCGGCTTCACTTCCCTTAGAGTTGGATGATCCGTCAACGAACAACTTCCAGGTAGGTTGAGGTTCATCAGCTGGCCGAGGCCTTTCCTCCTCTTCTAGGCCTCGGTTGGTACTACAAGTCAAATTTTGACAGTTCGATGGCCCACTTGATCAATCGTCCTGAGGCCTCTGTCTTGGTGAGGACGACTTTAAGGGGTTGGTTAGTCAGGACCGTGATGGTGTGGGCTTGAAAGTACAGCTTGAGCTTTCTAGTCGAGACCACTAGGGCAAAGGCTAGTTTCTCCACTTCGGGGTACTAGGTCTCAGCATCGTAGAGGACCTTGCTGATGTAGTAGATCAGTCTATGCACTCCATCTTCCCTTATCAACATTGAACTGATGGCCTCGTCCCCCGGCCGAGAGATTCAAGTACAACACATCTCTTGGAAGTGGCCAAGTGAGGAGGGGAGGCGAGGCGAGGTATGACTTTGGTTTTTCAAAGGCGCGCTGGCACTCTTCCGTCCACTGTAAGTCCTTCAATTTCTTGATGGCCCGGAAGAAGGATAAACAGTAGTTAGCTGACTTCGACATGAAGTGGTTGAGTGCAGCCACTCGACTAGTAAGCCTTTGGGTCTCCTTGATCGTCCGAGGTGGTTCCATGTTGAGCATAGCTCAGATCTTTTCTAGGTTGGCCTCTATACCTCGCTATGTAATGACGAAGCCTAGGAACTTGCCTGATGTCACGCCGAAGGAACCATGGTTTTTAAAAACGAATCGGAAACAAAACCGGTTAGGGGACCGGTTTCCGGTTAAACGGTTTAACCATCGAGGTCAAACGGTTCGACCCATGATGTCATAAATAAATTAAAAATAAAAAATATTTTATAAATAATAAAAAATAGTATAAAATTAAATAAAAATACAAAAAATAGAACCGTATAAATAAAAATAATACATTACAAAATACATAAAAAATATAAAAATAAAATACAAAAAATTCTAATAAATACAGAAAAAACACAAAAAAAAATAAAAATAAAAATAAAAAAACAAAGAAATAAAACAAAAAATTGCAAAAAATACAGAAAAATACTCTAGAATGTTAAGTCCTAAAATGCAAAAATCCTTGACCTAAAATCAAGATTCATAGAGATAGATTCCCCTCGCACCAAAATAAAAGGGGAGAAATATGAGCATTCACTCTAGAATGTTAAATTGCTATGCAACCAAGATTGATCTATAAAAAACTTCAATAGACATTAATTTTACCTAATTGATCAAAAAAATTACTCTAATTTTTACCAAGAAGTGCTACAAACTCACCTATCGTAAAGCTTGGAAGTGTTGCAAAATGCAAATTGCAAAAAACGCTAGTCGTTGCCGAAGGTGCTGGCCGCCATTGCAAACTTGCTTGCCGCAAAGCCTGGAAGTGAGGTAAACCGCAAAAAATGCTGGCCGCCGCTGCAAACTCGCCGTTAGTCGCAGTTAGTCGGTGTGTGTCGTCGACGAATGCTGGAGGTGCTGACCGCCGCAGGTGGTCGGTTGGGTGTGAGGGATGGTCGCCGCTGCAAATTCGCTGTCGTTGGTCGTTGTTAATCATCGTTGGTCGGTGTGTATCGCCATTGAATGCCAGAGATGCTGGCCACCGTAGGTGGATGGTTGGGTGTGAGGGCTAAGAGGAGGGAAGAACGAAAATGGGGTTCTAACCCTACATTCGATTAAATGATTTGGGATGGGGATATTAAAGGAATTTTATTTTTTGTTTTTTATTTTATTTAAAACATTGAAAATAAAAAAGAGAACCCGTGAACCGCCACCTAGGTCGAATGGTTTAATGGTCCGACCACCTAGGTTAGCGGTTTTTTGACTTTTTTAACATTTTTAAAGATTTCCGGTTTTTAGTGTAACCAGACCCGGGGCCTGACCGGTTATTGGTTTTTTTGGTCCGACCATCCAGTCCGGTCCGGTTTTGAAAACCATGGAAGGAACACTTGTTGGGGTTAAGCTTCATAATGTACTTTCGCAAGGTGTCGAAGGTCTTGGATAGGTCCAAGGTTTGTTGGTTGGCTTTCAGGCTCTTTACGACCATGTTGTCTACATAGGCTCGATGTTTCTTCCTGTTTGGTGCTTGAAGACCTTGTTCATAAGGCGTTGGTAGGTGGCTCAAGCATTCTTGAGGCCGAAGGGCATGACCTTGTAATAGTATGTGTCGTGCTCGGTGATGAACGAGGTCTTCTCCTCGTCCTCGGGATGCATCTTACTTTGGTTGTATCCGAAAAAGGCATCCATGAAGCTGAGTAGCTCATACCCTGTGGTGGCATCGATGAGGTGATCTATCATCAACAAAGGAAAATTATCTTTGGGGTAGGCTCGTTTGAGGTATGTGAAGTCAATACAGATCCGCCACTTCCTGTTAGCTTTCTTCACCATAACTACATTGGGTAACCAGTTAGGGTAATGTACTTCTCGGATGAAGTTAGCGTCGAGTAGCTTGCCAGCTTCCTCTCCTATGGCCTTCCATTACTTCGGTGCAAAGTTCATCTTTTTCTATCAAACTAGCCTAGAACTCAGGTCCACACTCAGCCTATGAGTAATGACCGAAGGGTTAATTCCAGGCATGTCAGCGGTAAACCAAGCAAAGACGTTGGCATTAGTTTTGAGGAAACTTACCAATTTGGATAGGCTTTTTGGGGGAAGGTTGGACCCGATGCAGACTGTTCTCTCAGGCTCAGCCTCGTCTAGGGGAACTGAGATGAGGTCCTCGACCGATTGGCCTCCGCTCGCTGTTTCCTCCCTGAGGTCGAGGCCCTCTAACGGTAGAGCTTCCTTGTTCTTGCCCTTTAGTGCCACCACATAGCACTGGCGGGTGGTTTGTTGGTCCCCTTTGATGACTTCGATGTTGTGTTTGGTGGGGAAATTGAGGGCGAGGTGGTAAGAGGAGATGGATGCCTTGAGTGCGTGGAGGGTCGAACGCCCGATGATGGCGTTGTAGGGGGAGCCGATCTTCACGACTAGGAACTCATTTGTCCTCATCACCTGCCAAGGTTCTGTCCCTATTATGACTGGTAGGGTGACTCTTCCCTTCGGTCTAACCACGTTCCTAGAGAAGTCGGCGAGTGGCATGTCGGTGGGTTGGAGGAGCTCGGGCGCCAACTTCATTCTTTCAAAGGCATTGTAGAAGAGGATGTTGGCTAAGGATCCGTTGTCTACTAATATCCTCTTCACCATAAAATTTGCGACGACGGCGAACATTGCTAACATGTCATCATGGGGGACTGAGATCCCCTTCAAGTTCTTGTCTATGAACGTGAGGGCTTCATTCTGCTTCAGCTTCTTGGAAGTCGGCCCCTGGATGTTCAACTACTTGTTGCGAG